ATAATAATAATAATAATAATAATAATAATAATTTAAAAAAAAACTTGCATGCTGCCCGGCTCACAACAAAGAAATTACAATAAAATCAATAAAACATTAAAAATAAAGAGAAAACAAGAGAAATACATACTGACCGGAACTAGAATAATTTGAAGTTCAGAATAAAATGAAATGGTTGTACATTGGAAGTGAATCTCAGATTACAGGTTGGGATTCAAGCTAATTGCCAGGTATGAAAACAGTCATGATTTGGACACAGTCCAAAGTAATTATAAAGCCAGGCATTTTTGTATGCATAAGACTTTCTCTATATTTGTGTGCTGTTCTTTTTACATTATACTTACAACTATACATTTTGGATATTTAAGTTTTCCATTTTTACACGATACTCTAAATGGAGGGGAGACTGGATCTGGTTCAAAGCCTGTTCTGCAAGAAAATTCTATTTCATCTCCAGACATTGAAAACAAATTTTCTGCATGATATTTCTTCCATCGTAGCTGTATATGGTTATACTTCATATCTGCTTTAGTTATTGTACAAGGATCTGCAGAAGACACAAATCATTTAACTTTTTAGATATGAAGTGGACAAATAAAGAGTTCAACAAACATGCTGTAGGTATAGAGGATAGAAGGCATCTCTGTTACAGTCTTCAGTGACTGAGGACCATGGGCATTCAGGGTTCCTGACCATTCAAAGCAGTGTAACCAAGCAGTTATTACAGTAAGATTGCTATTGTGTCATTTTAGGCGTCCTTATCTGGATGGACGGGTCAACGTGGAAGTTGTGAAAAAGTTTTCTAATGCTTGAAAAGACATACAGTTTACTCAAATCCTGTGCGTTTTTTAGATTATTCTTCTCTATATGTAGGTTCAACTAACCTCAGCATTTACTTAACCTGAACATTGAAAAAAACGTGTTGATATATATATTACATATAATGCTGCACATTTATAGAGTCTTGCAAGCATAACCACTTCCTTGCTTCTAGATGGGCGTGCTCATCTTCACAGCTAGAAGGTAGTCAGTTGCACAAGTTTACTCTTAGAAGGACCAATGCTGATGTTGATAGTATTTTTGTCTTTGGGGCTGTGAGACATTATGAAGGCGAAAATATGGGGTCCAGAAGAATAAACATCTCTGCATAGTAAGAAGTCCTCTGATATATTTGTGCTTAATTTAAATATCTGTTTTTAATACACCCAGGGCTTCTATGTAAGACTGTTTCCCCAGCTTTACTTCCTAGTATTGAAGATACCTTTATGCAGCTGAAAAAATAACTTCTGACAATGTGACAATCTCAGTGATCACAGCTGCTCCAGAGATAAACCATTCATACATTTCTTGATGCACTTTATTTTTCAAGGAAGGGAGGGAGGGAGGGAGGGAGGATTAGAAGGTATTTTATACCTAGACATGTTGGTACTTTACTCCAATGACCGTTGTTACAGTGAACTACTGGAGAGCCTTCCATCTTATAATGAAGTTGACATTTATATGTCACTACTTCTCCTGGGTTATATTTAACCTGCAGAATTTCCAGGATGTCTCCATTGTCCAAAGGAGGTGGAGGACCACATTTCCCCCCAGCCTCTACAGTTAAACGAGACAGAGAACATTATTAGATGGTATCTATTAGAATTCCAAACCTGGTGAATGCATTCATTTATTTATCCTTATCCCTGGAACCTTCTGCCTTGAAGCTTAAATCTTGCTTCCTCTATTATCACATTACCATAAAACCTGGGATGGACGGTTTGATGGTTTTTAGCAAACGAATTATGAGCATATTTGTAGTGGTGTGAAAAAATTGGAAAGGAACATCTCTGTTTTCAAACTTTTTCATACTCATGCAAGCTGTGAAGCCATCTTGCTCCTGGTGCACCAAAGAAAGGAAGCTATAACTGAATACAACAAAGCATGATATGGCAAAGATGGGCAAGTAAACCAATATGGTTACCTATAACCTCTTTTTATGGCTAATTACCAGATCTGGGTGACCAGTCTTTTGGTAATTTCTATACACTACTTCTTGCAATTCCAGAAAAGCTCTGAACGGGTTGCAATATATGTCAAATCCGTTGCATTTGGATCGGTGAATCAGAAATTGCACAGGCATACTTTCACTACTACTAAAAGTCTTAAATAGGACAATCACCACCACCATCTCGACTTCTTTGACACCTCCCCCCACCCCCATTCAGACTGTCAGGCAACTAACCTTAATTTTAGAATCATGAAGATATAAATCTTAAGTACCTGTGCATTGTGGTTCTTTTGTCCATTGTTCCTTCAGGCATGTTACTGTAGGAGATCCAAAAAGGCTATATCCTTCATCACAATAGTAGCTCACCTTCTCTTGAGGCAAATACCTTTCCGTCTTGTTATCCTTAATCCGGCCATTAGGAACTTGAGGTGGAGGAGGACATGTTACATCTAAAATGGCAAGCAAAGCTTTTTCAGTCCTGGAAATATACTTTTAAAATGCACTTGATCACACAGCAATCTGTTAAGGCTATATTCAGAAAAATATAAATATATATATTTTAATATTATAAAATATAAATATATTTTAGCTTCTACCTGCTCGGCTTGGATGGTCAGTTGCCTTAACTGAAATTTAGACGATCACCCTGATTCATCTTGAAACCCAAGGCTATACTTTAAATGCCTTTCCCATTAATTTTAGCAGAGAAAATCAACTGATATGGTAAGGAGTTGTTTGGGTGTTGTTTTTTTCCCAGACATTTTAGGCATAAAACGTCCTTCTGACAGGATCAATTTTGCCAGATTTCCGGGAAATAATTTCAGGAGTTAAGAGAATTATGAACCAAAATTATCTGAGCTTTTCTGACATAATCCTCACCCCACCCCCCATCCGCAAAAAAGGAACAACATACTGAAATGCTTTTGCTAGGCAAAATTTCTCAATCAGGTTGTTCTTGATTATCTGGTTTGACACTGGAAGCTTTCATTCTGATCTGGTCCCACCATCAAGTCCTCCAAAGCAGTCTGCCTTAATTGTTGCTATCTCTTGCAACCAAAGTTTGAGATCAACACAGAGTCCTCATTCTCTCCTTGCTCTGGTGCCTTAGCAGTAGCAATATTTCTTCCCAAAATATTGTGATTGAAGAAATCTCATATTTATCTGAATGCTGCAGCTTGCAGTCAGACTACTACATTCCTCTTTCTCTGTTTCTTCCCGAACTGCATTTTTTTAATGGAATGGTTTTTTAATGGTTTTCCATAACTAATTAAATCAGTCACTGCAGTTACATTAGAGTAGTTAACTATCAACAAAAATAATTTCATTAACTGCTTTTCACAAAGTAGTGATCATTACCTTTCAGCGATGTGATATTAACCCTGGAGGGCAACTTTTAAAATTTCACTTCACAAGATCTTGACTTACCTTTACATTCAGGCAATATGACTGGTTTTCCATCACACTGGATTTCAAAGGAAGATTGGGAAGGATTTGTTGCAAGGACAAAACCTGGCTTGCAGATAAATTCCATAGAATGACCATGTTGGATGAATAAATTCTGAGATCCAGTCTCACTGGACCTCCATTTCACCTCTATGTTGTGCTTCTTCATTTCATCTACTGAGATTGTACAAGGATCTATAATGGGAAAGTAAATAATTAAATTAAGCAAAACAACCAATAACAAAGACTTTAATAATGAAGTCATTGTTTCTGAGAACCTAAAATATGTATTGCTAATTGCTGAACAGAGATTCCCAAGACTGTGATACGCATTCATGATTGGTCAAATTCTTACCAATTTTACTTTCCAAATAGTTCAGGGGAAAAAAAACCCATATCTGAAAAATTTACCATTTCCAGGTCTCTCTGGAGGAAATCAGAGTCATAATGGTATCAGGTTCAGTAACGTATTTATGAGAATGTTCTGAAGGATGCAAAATGGTAGCTCAGAGCCTACATGTGGCCTGTAAATATTGGGTGGTTAATACAAGCTGTCTTTCAGAAGAAATGCTGGTAATTGGCATTCCTAGTGTTAATAGAAATAATAATATTCTGTCAGACTTCCTATTAAGCTCCAATTAATAGCATTTATTATTAGGAAGGTACAAGTTACAACATAAGAACTCAGCAAGTACTCTGATTTCAAATGCGACATATACAGTACAAGTAGTCCTCAGTTAACAACCATTTGTTTAGTGACCATTCAAAGTTACAACAGTGCTAAAAAAGTGACTTACAACCGGTGCCCAAAGTTACGACCATTCTAGCACCTCTGCGGTCATGTGATCATGATCCGGGCACTTGGCAACCAGCTTGCACTTATGTCAGTTGCAGCATCCCGGGGTCATGTGATTGCCATTTGCAACTTTCCCAGCCAGCTTCTGGCAAGCAAAATTAATAGGGAACCATGTGATTCGTTTAACGACCATGTGATTTGCTTAATGACCACAGTGATTCACTTAACAATCACCAGAAAAAAGGTCAAAAAATTGGGTCCACTTCACTTAACTGCCCTGCTTAACAACCAATTTTCTGGTCCCTATTGTGGTCTTTAAGTGAGGACTACCTGTATAGCAGCAAATCACTTCTCTGTTTTCTTCTACTTTTTCTACCAAAAGGGCTCTACATCCCCTTCTTTTGGGAAGGGGGCAGTTTGCATCCATTCATGGTTTTGATGAGTGATACCACTTTCATCACTATGAGAAGTCACTCTCACAATATTCAAGTTACTTAATATGGATTGCTGAAATATTCTTCACTATTTTTGGTCAGTGGTGTCCGTATTATTGCTCTCTCATTTCAAGAATTGGAAAGAGATGGAGAAAAGGGTGGCTTCTTTAAGTGAATTCATTGCTTGAAGGAAATTATATGCAAAAGAGGGCTGCCATCTACAAGATTAACCCAAATATGTGCTATTGAAATGAGAAGCTACTTTTCAAAGAAAGCAATGCATTAATCCAAATACTTTCCTCAATTGCTCACCGAAATTGTTCAAGCACTACCTTTTATTCTTACCCAGGCAACGAGGCACATTTATCCATTTTCCATCATTACAGAAAGCTCTACTCTCTCCTATCATGGAATAATATTGTTGACATTCAAATTCTACTGAAGAGCCAGGTCTGTACGTCCTCTTCAATAAAGTACTAATATTTCCATTCTCAATTGCAGATGGCTTGCTGCAGTTTTTCCCTTTTTCTAGGGCAAAATAAAGCAATAGAAATTATGGGTTTGGCCACACCGTTAAACATACGATATTATACAATTTTGTAATTATGCTTCAAAATTTATACTTAGGTCAATTGAATTTAACCACTTTGGACTAGACCATAAATAGGTTTAAATGACTGAAACAGATTTTGATTTGACTTTTTAGTAGAATGTATCCTCATGATTTGACTTTTTGATGGAATATAAGCTCAGTGATTACTGTTATCATATGAACCTCATGTGCTACATAAACAGAGTAAAGCTGATATCCTCCCAGAAACCCAAATGTATGATTATTTCAGAGTACTTTATGTCTGAATAATTCTATAGAAATCTATCAGTGTTAATATATTTACCAAGGAAACATGATGGAAGATCTATGTGCCCATCAACACACTTCCTGACCAATGGAGCTGAGTGCACATGTCCTTCCCTGCACTGGAACTGCACTGTGTGGTCATTCTGGAATATCTGAGAATTTCTTCGACCATCAGAAAACATGAGCTTGTTTGCAGAAAGCTGTTGTTTGGTGATAATACAAGGTGCTACCACAAAAATAAAATAAACGTAAGGATGATAATTTTATTATGGAAATGCTTTACTTCAGCACTTCTCCTTTTATCCATTATTACTTTCTAGTTGACTTGTTTCTGCTCAAAATATAAACTCATATTTTTAGATTTTACAAATAAAACTCTATATTAGCTTTTGATCAACAAATGAATCATTTTTAAAAAGTCCAACCCTAATATTATATTACACTTCCTTTGTACATATGCCAAGTCTGACTAGGGCAGGAATAGGTAACCTGGTGACTTCTGGAGGCTTAAATTTTTACATTTTTAGTAGTCCCAACAGTATGGCCAATGGCAAGTAATCCTGAGATCAGTTATCTAAAACATCTGGACAGGACCAGGTTAGTTTTTCTGATACACACACACACGCTCCCATTGAATAAATGATCTACAGATGGGTATTAATAATATATAGATCTTTTCTTCATACATCTATAGCTTGACCAACACAGAGGATAAGCCAAGAAAAAATAAGCAGTCTAAGATCTGTGATTTTAATGAGTGAGTTCACACAGCTGTTCAACACTCTCCCAAAGAAATCAAGAGACATTTACATGTTTTAAAGCAGCTGTTCATTCTATCAAGCCACTTCCCCTTTTTTCAGAGTGCCCAGGTATTACTTTTAAGAAACAGCTTCAAACCCAGCAAACTGAAACTGGAATTAGGAAACATTTGACTTCATCCAGCTGAATTCTGGATGAAGTTTGCCATGCACTGAATAGTTGTAAGTCATGCTTAGTTATTTTTACTTAGTTATTGCTCTCAGTGGCTATTTTCAATGATTCTAGATTTAAATTTCAAGCTCACAATATTCAAATGCAATGCGTCTTACCCAAACATTTGGGTGGAGGCGTCCACTTTGGTGCCACACATATTACCCACTGAGACCCTTCCAGAATGTAGCCAAGATTGCACTTGTACTGTATTCTCTCATCTTCCAGATACTTGGCCTTCTGACCACTTACAGTTTGTCCAAAATCAATATCAGGAGGTGGTTCTTCACACACTGTAATTAGATATGCCACAAACATTTACTTCTTCTGTCATTTTGGTGGGCAACCCATAGCCTTTGACCACCTTTAGAAATCCCCAGAACCCCTTATAATTTCATGTCAAAGAATCATGATGGTGATCTTTCAGCTTCAGTGGATTGTTTGGCTTAGCGAGGTGCCCCTCTAAAGCTCTGCACAACAGATCTGGATGTGAAGGAGGAAAGGTAATCTGGAGCACAGAGTGGTTTGCATGAATGCTCACACAGAACCCGTCAGCAATTCTTTAAAGAAACTGGACTTTTCCTGGACTTGTATGGCTTTTTCTGCAGCTGCAGCACAATCCCAGGAAAATACCTGTTTGGTTTAGGGAGTTGCCACCCACATACCCTCCAAATCACCTTTTCCCCTTTCTGCCTGGATTGCTGTAGAGGCTCAATCATCGTTCTACTCTGAGCAAATTCAGAAACCTTTCAAGCCATATGAATTCAGTACCTTTTGTAAACTCAGCTCTGTTTTCCACTATATCACAAATGGTTTATTCAGAGAATTTTGGGTTCAAAATCAGAAAGTTATGATCTAATTACTTCCACTGTTTCATCTTTTGTTCATTGCGTTACAAAGGAAGATCAGTGGGGATACTCTTTATCAGGTTACTTCAAAAGGGTGCCTTAGGGGAATTTCTGTCCTACCCAGGTGCCTCTCTAAAGATCTGTACAACCCAGTCACTTCTGATTCCTGCTCATTCCAAATAGTTACTAGGGTTCAGCGGGGATTCATCTTTCAGTCCTGTCCTAGGAAAACAAAAACTTCCTGCCCAAAGGGAAAGCAACATTCTCAGATGCGTAATTCCAAATGCAACCAAAAGACTCAGCCTAAGTAACTGGTAACTTATTCCCTCCTTCAATAAGATTCTGAGTTTCAACATATATTCAGGGTTCATTACCAACTGTACAGTTGGCAAGAGATCATCTGAACCTAGATGTTCATAGACGGCAGTCCTTCTTTCTACCTCTTCTTTTTTCCTTTCTTATTTTTTTGTAGCAAACTCTTTTCAGTTTAAGAGAAGACAGGGGGAAAGCCAGCTTCTCTGAAAAAATGAACTTTGCTTTCCCCAATCAAGGAAAATGCTGCATCTAAGATGCCCCATTTATAAGAGTCACCTTATGTGAGATGGGCGGCTATATAAATATGATAGATAGATAGATA